CTAAGATGTAAAATTCCGAACCACCTTTCAAACCGGACAACGGGACCCACTTAGATCTGCATTGATCCTGCTGAAAACCACACTCAACGGCACACAAGCTACCGAAGGACCCTTCACCTTGCCCACCGGCCCTTTCTTGGTAAGTGCGGACAGCTTCCGGGTTTTCTTCTCGTTCTTTGAGCAAATCGATAATCGAGCATTGTTGTGGGGCCCACTTCTCCGTCTGCCGAGGAGCTCGACTGTGATGGGATGGCCCACGATCTGGCGCCCGGTCAGCTTGCTCGCGAGTGAGACATAAGGCACGCTATGCGGGCGCTCGGGGCCCGACCTCACCTCCAGAGGGACATTTTGCAGGCCCGTTTTTGGGGATAAACTGGATGGCTCGTATTTGGGATAGTGTCTCTTTGATCGGGAGTTTCGCTTGCCTTTCGCCTGCCACTCGGGATATTTGCCTTTTGGGGCTGACTCGTTGTTTCGTTTCATTTGGGAAGATGAGATCTTGATGTGACTGTTTTTGTCGGCACGTTGTGCTTCGTGCGATGAGTCGGGAGTAGTGGAGGGCAAGCCTGAGGGATTTATATAAATTCACACGTGAATATTGTCGATCGAAAATGTACATTTATAAGTCAAAGCTGTCAGTCGAGCTACATTTTAAAAAATTAACCTTCACATTTAGTATAATTGCCAAAAGAAAATCTCTCATTCGCTTCAATAATTTGACAATTTCATGAATCGACCTTTTGACACTGTATTTAATGAGAAAATACAAACCTCACTGGGAGTATATGTAACAGTTGAAGATATCTATCTAGACTTTTTGGTGACTAGTAAAGTGCACGTGCGATGCACGTGGTGATGAATGTTTTTTGCCAATTAAGTTTTGTAACATAAATTAATTAATTTATTAAAAATATCGTTGCAAGAATGAAATAAAACGTAGAACAAATGTTTTTTCAAAATAACTTAACGATGTCCTAATATAAAAAGAATCAATTAAGTTTTGTAACATAAATTAATTAATTTATTAAAAATATCGTTGCAAGAATGAAATAAAACGTAGAACAAATTAATGAAACGAAATGTAGAACAAATTGTTTTTTCAAAATAACTTAACGATGTCCTAATATAAAAAGAATTAAATTGCATATTACAACCCCAACAAAAATATTAAATAACTAGATAATGACTAATATATATTATAAATGCATTAGTTCTTTTATTTGTTTATGTTAGATGATTCAATAGCAATCTCTTTCATTTTGGTTTTGACGTCCCCATAAGAAGCATTGCTGATTCAATAGTATTGCAAAATTCATCTTAATTCATTTGACAAAACATTTACTTTATTCAAACACTTAAGAAATATTCTAGCCAACCATAGTATTATCTTTATATTTCTACTAACCATGCATGAATATCTCTGCAAAATAACTAATCGTGTCATTAAAATTGTTGATTATTTTTTATTGTATAAACTACTATATTACTCTCTATATAGACAAATTAATACCTACGGAGAGGAATGAATTTCATCTCTAAATAAAAGTTAACTTTTCAAAATCTCTATTACATGTACTTTTTCCGAGGTTATTTTTTGAAATCATCACACATTACCTAAAAGTACATACTCTAAAATAGTTTCACATATGTTCAAGCACAATACACCAATGAAATTATAAATATTCCTATAAGAAGTGTCAACTTCATTCAAACATTCAAAAATGTTTTGATCGGGCTCCAACGTTTCATTTTTAATGTCATTTATTTGGAAGATAGACGAACTATATAATCTATTGTTTGCAAATCATTGACCATCTAGTTCTTGCAATGATTTTAGAATTATTTATTTTAATATCTTTCACATTCGTTTGGATTTGTAATATTTATGTGTCCAATAACTTTTTTAATGCTTTTATCGTCCAACTTTATGCATCATACATAATGCTCAAAAAACTCAAGATAAAGATCCTTTTTTGATTCTTCACCAATGACAAAGCCAAACAAAACAAAACAATGAGACAACGTTGAGAAGCATATTATTTATTAAAATATTTGATATGAGAAGAATTAGAATTTTATTTTATGACTCTTAGTCATCTTTGAACTTTATTATTACGAAATCATTATTAAAATCTAGATTATGCATTATAAAGTTTTAAATTTTTAATTATATAAAATTAAAAATTGATAATATATGATCATTATTTATGAAATCCAATTTCTTACAGAGTCCATATATTTAAACGCTAGCAATAAAAAAATATTATTTTTAAAAAACTTTTTGTTTCTAAATATTGGTATTCATACTTGTCTAAGAAAATTCAGACGTTTTCCTTTCTCAATTGCATTACTATTATTTTATTAGTTTTTTATTCTATTGATAAATAATACTTTATTTATTAAAAGAATTATAGCACATTTATATGTATTGCATCATTTTTTGTACGTATTTCATATAATGACGTTGTTATCAAAATATCTTATTTATTAGGCAACAACTAATATAATCACATAAGATAAAATAAAATTTAATATTACTTATTTATTTATTTAAATATAATAATAATATATTTGATAAAAAATGTACTTTTATAATGATTATTAGATTAAAATGTTTAGAATTTTTTCCAATATTGAGAAAAGATTAAGCAACTAACTCATTTTCATACTCATTAAATTTATATGTTACTTGAATAATAATTTAATATACAACTCGTTTATTTCTCCTTTTAATTCAAATAGTTAATATTGGTGATAGTTGTATGCTTACATCCATTTTTTGTTTTTTCTTAGTATGAATTTTCGGATCTATGTAAGAAAAATATGCCACAAGTTTATATTATGTTATTTAATACTTAATGAAATTTATTAAACATGGATGTATAATTTATTTTATAAGATACTTTAGGTCTATTTATTATTTTAAATTAGTGTTGATAATTGATATACATCATTGGAAAAAAATGATGTGATACATTACATATAAAAGTGTAACAAATGAAAAAATAATAAGTATTTTAAAATTGAAAAATTAATGGTAGAAAGTAATTAAATTTTTAATTAAAAGAATTTAAAATTAACATAGTGAATTTTAATGTAAGAAAAAAATATTTTTTATGAACTTAAAAGTTCATGTTAAAATAAATGTGCATAATAAGTATGTTTGGTATTTCTCATTACCTAGCTCCAATTGATATAAAACATTAATTAATTTTATCACTTTTTACTTTTACTTTTAGATTAATGCGAGCTATAAGTTTCTCATCATTCTTACCCCTTGTTTAGCTATTATAATACTAATAAAATAATTAAGGACTTTTTGACCTAGATGTATCTTGTTTGTTTTTTAAATAGTTTACTAATTATCATAAATTAAATGATAATTAGATTGAATGTGTTATATTTTCTATCATTATCAACAATTTTCATAATAATTAGTTGCACAAAATATTATATATAATGCATATTGATTTTGATCTTACCTTTACTACAAGAAAATGAAAAAATTTCAAGAAAAAAAATATATATATATATATATGACAACGGAATTCTTCGAAAATTCTAACAAATATTTCAATGTTACTCCCGTTTGAATTTTTCAATATAATTCTAGCAAAAATATTTTATTAGAATCATGAACAGATCTATGTTTATTTTACAGATCTGGAACAACCCTCCATCCCAAAGCATATAGCGTAAAGGACCTAATAAAAATATGTGGGAACATTTTTTTATAATTTTTGTCATGTCCCCTATTTTAAAAATGAATATGAAAGAAAGAAAGATACATAATGAATTAATTTACAACTCAACCAATTATAATTTAATTCAACTCATCACTCTACTAATGTTATAAAATAAACGCAGCATCACAACTAAAGAAAATATAATAAATCTCAAATTTACAATTTTATCCTCTAATTATATTTTTTCAATCTCGATGATAGTTTCAAATCTCTCTTTTGCAACATATTTTTTCTATATCTTCAAAATATATGTTTGTCTTTTTTAACTAACGCAAGGGGAATTCTAGTTATATATTCATAATTCATAAATTCATCAATTATATTGCCGAGTCAGCTATACTACAACATAGATTTTTTGTTTATAATTTTTTTAAAAAAATATTATTTTCAATGATTTTTTAATGTTGAATTGAGAAAATTCGTCATTTTTTTATTAAATATTTTTTAACTTATTGTGACTGTATAGATGTGTTAGAATGTATTACAAGTGAGAAATATGACAAACTATGTAAAGTATAATTTATAAATTGTAATGGCACTATGTTATTTTGATGGTATACTTTTTCTATTAACTATATAGTGCCCCAATATAAATTATTTTGGATTCGTCATTGCAATTAGTTTTCCAATGGAACTTCTATTAGATTTTTTACAATATCAATGACAGCTTTTTCAATGGTCGAAATATGATCCGTAAAAAAGTTCAACAGAATTTCAAACAATAATAGTTAATGAAATCATTTAATTCACAAAATTTTCAATGTAATTTAATTTGATCTCTGTTGGAATAGTTAATGAAATTTTTAAATAAAAAGTTATACCAATGAAATATCCGTTGGAATTTTCGTTGGAATATCATACAGATGCATTTTCCATTGCAATATACCATTTTTTTTGTATTCCTTCTTAAGCATTATTATTTAGATAGTACTTATTGAGTAATTGTGTTTAAAATTTTTCTATCAAAATATATTAAACAAATGAACTTTTTAATCCATATAATTTTTATAAAGTAACTCAATATTTTATCTCAAAATTACCTATTGAATTCCCAATTGAGTTACATTTATTATATATTAAATGGTAAATAATTAAAATAATTATTATTTATATATTTAATATGATATATATATATATATATATATATTATATGTAAAAAGCTTATAAAATAAAAAGTAATTTAAAATTAGAATAATCAAGTGTTTTTTTTCTAACCTACATGGATAAAGGTAAAAATAACTATTGTATATCACCTAAAACTTACACAGAGAATTAATAAGTACAAAAAAATAAGCATTTAACAACCCTTCTCGTTTACATCGATAAATATAACTTTTAAAAAGTTTATGTTTACTTTTATTAATTATAACATATTTATTTATTATTTTTTAATATTTATTAGTACATATTACAACTTAGTAATTTTTAATATCATTTGTCAGATTTAATATATATTTTTTTTTTATATTGTTCTTTCATATGTTTTTAACTTTTGTATTTGCTAAAAATTCATAATATTACGTATAGAACTTTTTCGGCCATATGTGTTAATATATCAATTATTTGTATATCTTAATATTATATTATATACAATTACAGTTTTCTCTTTAATATTATAATCAATTATTTATAATTTATAAATTCATCAACAATATTGTCGAGTCAACTACACTACAACATAGATTTTTCGTTCATATAAAAAATTTCCAACGGTAGAAATATGTTCCGAAAGAAAAATAATTGAATTCACACAAGAAAATAAATAATGGTAATTCGAATCATTAAATCCACTAAAATTCCATTATAATTTAATTTGATCTATGTTAGAATAGCCAGTGATAGTTTCCAATGAAAGCTATGCAAATGAAATATCCTTAGGAATTTTTAGTGGAACACCTTATCGTTCGATTTTTCATTGCAATATAGCATTTTATTTTTTACATTTATTTTTAAACATTAAAATCTTTATGTTGTAGTTTTTCTATTAATTAATTGCGTTTACAATTTCTTTTATTAAAGATATATTAAACACATGAACTTTTTAGTCCATATAACTTTTTAGAAATCACTCGTTATTTTAACACAAGATTACCTATAATTTCTCAATTGAATTACAACCTTTTACGTATTAATATTAAATAACAAAAATAATTATTATTTTTATATTGTAATATGATATTATATTAAAAAACTAATAGCAAATAAAAAGTTATTTAAAATTATAATAATTATTTTTTTAAAATATTAAAATTTCCAACCTACATGGATAAAAGTAGAAATAACTATTATCTATCACCTAAAAGTTACACATAGAACTAATAAGCACAAAAAAATAAAAAAAAATAAACAATTCGATTCATTTACATCGATAAGTATAAGTTTTAAAAGTTTTATGTTTACTTTTATTAATTATAAAATTTTTATTTATTATTTGTTTTCATATTTATTAGTGAGTCTTACACCTTAATTATATTTTTAATGTTATTCATCAGATTTAATATTTTTTTACTTTCATATTATTCTTTTATTTAGCACACATCTTGAAAATCAGTGGCTCAAATAAAATAATAATAATTAAAATCTCATGATATTTTACTTAATTATTGAATATAAAATCCATATATTTTAAGTGTTATTAATTAAAATATTACTCACCTTAAAATTAACCATCTAATGGTCAAGTGAAAATTCGTTAATTTTATTCACTTTGTGACTAAAATTGAAAAAAACAAACAAATGACGATTTTTGTGGAATCAAAATTTAATTGAATAAGACTAAAGTACAATTTCTATTCTAATTCTAAATATAAGAGTTTACTTTTCTTAAATAATGAAGTAGTTAAATGAATTGTTCAACTTTTCTAGTTTGTCAGATAATGTATAAAATTATATTAAAAATAAGGATTTTTTTAAAACAACAATTCTATATCTTTTCAAAACTTTGTTGTTTAGGTTGATATTGGGTTGATTTTTGGAAGATATGTGGAAGAAAGTAATTTCGAGAAATAATGGTGCGTGAATATTTTTAGGAGATGTGAAATATATTGTTCATGTATTTGTATTTAATTAATTAAGCATTAGTTATTAATTAAAAATATAAGATATGATAGGTATTAGTGTATTACTAATTTACCATTAAAAACATGTTAAAGTAAGAGTTTTTTAGGTAATTCATTTTTTAATTAAAAATATAAAATAAAATATGTATTAGTATATTACTAATTCGCCATTAAAAATATGTCAAAGTAAGGTTATTTTAGGTAGTTCATATTATTACAAAAACACTCGTCCTTTTAGAGTAGTATAGATAAATATAGATAGATTAGTTCGCGCAGCCATAAAATTTGTAATCTGGGCTATTTTGAACGATGGTGGTTTTATTTTGTAATTAGACTAAACCTCGAGGTTATCTTTTATAACAATTGATATGAAATTCTGCAGAGTGAGTGGTTTGCATAAATACATTAAAACCACCTGTATCATATATGTCATACCTGCGGAGCCCTTTTCTTCTGCAACAAGAGACACATCAAACAAGCTGCCAAAAGATTCATTCCCACGAAGCTTGCTAGAAATCCCATTTTCCTTCCGCTTGTTTTTCAGGGTATCCAAGTCTTTTTCTTTTGATTCTTTGGTTTCCAACAAAGAAACTCCACTTGGGCTCGACATTTTTTCGGCAACATGAGCAGACACCAGTGCAGTACTATCCAAGACTTCCGTAAAAGTGCGTCTCTTGTTTTTCTTTTTCGAGAATTCTTGATTATTACCAACTTTGGATCTTTTCCTCTTAAGTGACAAAAATGGCAAGTTCATTCTCAAGTCCCAGAGCCCACTTGTATGTCTCGACACATCTTCTTTCGGGTCATCCAAACCTCTCAATTTGTCAAATTTCTTGCTGCCTTCACCTGAACCATGCGTTGAACTACTCGAATTCTCATCAGGAACTTCACTTTCTTCACTCAGATAAGATGCTGAAGGCGATTCATGGTCAGCATGGTTTTTGCCAGGACGGGCACTTTCGAGCTCAAGCTCGAGCACATGAATAATGGCTTCGTCTTTTATAGCATTTTTGGATGCCTTCAATTTCTCGATGCATTTATCATGGTCCTCGTTATGAAATGCTTTCACCCTCTTTGATTTCTCGAGATTATACCATCCCCTGGACAAACACCATCAAGGAGTTCTTATTATTTCATTTTTTCAAATGGAAAAGCTTTGTATTTCAGATATGGAACCATTTAAAGAAATAAAAACCTAGGACAGCAGAGCAAGAGGCTTTTGACCATGATTGGTAAAGCAAATATGCAAAACATTCCCAAGAACAATAGTCAACGTAAATACAAAACATGCCAATAATTTTTAACGTGGAGAATATAATTCAGTTTCGCATGTCAGTTTGTAGCTTAGAAGGTCAACCATAATAAATACACATGGAATTGCAAGTGGCATCGGATTTCACGACAAGCCCTCTCACATATCTATGGTTCTTTCTTGTTTTCGTCATTTCCATTATATGGAGGGCGTAACTGTCATTCCACCTTTTTCCTCTTTNAAAAAAAAAAAAAATCCAAGTATTTTCTGGAAATCCTGTCTCAGATACTAACTTCCCAAATAGAACACAAAGGAAATTATACAACAGCCAATAAACTGAATCGGATTCCAAAATAAAGTTTTCCCTTTTCTTTTCAATAGCTTTTTTTAGAACAAATATTAACTCAGACAAATGAGATACACGTCATCAATTAAAAAAGCCCATAACACGCGAGTTTCATCGGCATACGAATAACTCACCGTATAAGCTAAAACATGCCTACAATACTCTACTTTGCTCATTACGGTCAGCAATAATGGCTGTGTTTTGGCTCGTCATTAATTTGCTATGCTAATGAGCAAGGATTGGAACGGGTGGAAGAAGCAAACTCTGAATTTCATTTATTAACTTGATTATTCATTTGTTAATCACATATTCTGAACATGCCTACGTCAATTATATGATACACGTACACCAAATTAACTTTCAAATGAACCACTACTTTCAGTGACAAATGTTCTAAGAAAGGTAACAAATAAAACAACTTTAGCATTCATTTACTCCATAATAAATAAACTAAGCATGTCGGTACCTTTTCCTCTGTTAATAAACAAGAATGGGACAACATGCTTTGTTATCTAGAAGAAGAACTGCTAACATGCACAACCAAAATAAAGAAAATGAAATTCTAAAACTAAGACAGCAATAGGAAAGAGCATAATTATATATTTCAGAATTCAACAGCCTTTATTCATACAGATAATTTGGAAACCAACAAAACCTTTCAAACAATATTTGATTGTTCAACTATCAGCTATCAAGTAAAGATTCCAAAAGCAATGGAATCAATGATCAATACAGTCAAAACGAAATAAAGGACCAAGCAACCAAAACGGCAATCGTCACACATATCCAACACAAACCACATAATAATGGATCACTTGAAAAACGTGGCAGGTACATTATTTTGTTAACCTATAAAAGTTCTAGTTAGCCATATGAAAGCAATTCAGATTTTGATAATCGAAACCGTTTTTCTATTTGACGATATGATATACTAGATGAATCCTACATTCATATTACTGACGTCAATTTGTACACGTGAAGTTCATCAGTTAAAGTAACCATACCAAACACAAATCCTATAGCACATCACAACCACATACTACTAACTCAATGTTATAAGAAACATATTACAGAATCTCTGAACAGTAAAAAACAACCTAATCAGAGATATAAATTTGAAATGATTAGAAACCTATACTTACACATTTGAACCCTCTTTACCGAGAAGCTTGACAGGGGTCCCTGATCTTGGTGAAGGCACAGAGCCCTCAGGCAGCTCATCTGGGCCAAGAATCTTGCCGGGCCACCACGACCCATTTCTCTGGCGGACCCAAATCAACCCGCCCACTGACCCATTAATGCCCTTGGTAGGGTCTTCACCAGAACTCCCCATTAAAAAAGCCAAAACTGAAAACAACACAGGGACTCTTGTTCTTGTTTTTCCCCCTTAAAACCTAACCAAGGAAAAATGAAACAAGAAAAACACAAGCTGGGGATATGTCAGCAATAATTAAATTCAAGTCAGACCAGCACATAAAACTCCCCCAAAGCCCTAGGGCAGCACCATGCATCTTTTTGAGTAAATCCAAATAAAAAGGACAGACCCAGCAACAATCTGAGAAAAGTATAAATGAAGAAACCGAAGAACAGCCAAAATCAAGTATTCAACCACAAGGCGAATAGAGAAAAATAAAATAAAATAAAAGCACTATAAAACTGGGGTGACAGGGTTTATATAGGGTAGAAAAAGAGGCATAGATCTGGTAAAACAATTTCTACAAAACATTTAAAACGGAAAAATGAACTTTCTTTGTTTCAGTTTTTATTTCCTCATTTTCAAGATGATGCAAAACCCATTAATTATTTTTTTCCACATGTTCTGCAACGCAAAGTTCCAACCTTTTTTTAGCGGTGGCATAAGAGAGATGGTGGCTTTTTTCAGCTTTGTTTTAACAACAAAAGATTACTTTTGGTACAGAAAAAGATGGGAAAGCAGTTTGCCTCTGTAATTGTTTTATGTTAAGGTGGCACTGTGGATGACGAAAAATGAAGTTTATGCATTTAGCAAAAAATGGGATTGAAATTGAGAAAATACCTTTTTTGGCCAACACAGACTGTCCTCCGACACAGACGAGAGAGAGATAGAAATTCATGAAAAATATTAGGGTAAAAATAGCATATTTGGTTCAAAAGAAATCATATTTGAATTGCTAGTAGACCCCATGAGCAAAATTACAGAATTTGCATTTGGTTAAAAGAAATCATATTTGATATAAAAAAAAGCTCATAATCTTATTTAAAACATATTTGATATATAAAAATCATATTTGATATAAAAAAAAGCTCATAATCTTATTTAAAACATATTTGATATATAAAAAAAAGGCTCATAATCTAATGTATAATATTTTCTTTATTCGAGATTTCCTATGTAAGGTTTTGACTCATTTCAACTGGTATTAGATTTTGATGGTGTATAAGATAATTGTATGTGTGACTTTTTTAGTACATGAACATGGGAATAATATAATCACTCATAATAAAATGAGGGGAAAAAAAGCACTCGTCACATATGACGCAAGCACATTTAGGTGGTATTTGCAGAAGTCAACATCCAGAAAATGCAAGTGAATTATGGGTTACCAAAAACACACACAAGTTTTTGAGCGAGCTATTTAAACTAAATTATATTATGATTCCTCACAATAATGTTATAATGTTAAGGAGCCAACTGTTGGCTCCGTTGTCAATGAAATATCTCCATGTGATTCCTCAACTAGTGTATAACATCATTTATGTAAAAAATCTGGCTTTATTTTATACATATTGATTTCATTAGGAGAGACCTTGAAAATACAATTCTACAATTAAGTATTTAAATGAGTTGAATACTAGAATTGAGTCAAACCAGGTGCTATTCAAGTTTGACTAAGTTGTTAACAAGCTTAAATAAAATAAGAAGTTGTATATTTGTTTGGTCTAGTCATAATCATTTCATCAAACTGTATTATAAGTTCTTTTTATATTCTTTAGCTTTAATTAATAACAATTTGATCTAATATAGCTTGCAAAAATTCTAGTTGAGCTGGTATCAAACTGGATCATCTTCAATATCAACCAGCTAAAGGAGCAAGATTTATATCATGTAGAATCAAATGAAATACAAAAGCCTAACTTAAAAAACCATATATACATCATGAGTTCATAATAGATGAGAAAACCAGCTATTGTAAAAATACAAAAATTAGTAAATAACTTAGTCGATCGATATACATCTTTCTACGAAGAAATTTTCGTTGGTTTAGCTCGATTTTCGTCGGCATCTCTAGGCCCAAAAGTAATGGACTGGATAACCGGGCTGCCACCACGAACCACTGAGCAGTAGTGGCCCGTTACAGTCATCAGGAACTCATCCGGAAACTGCAGCTTCATTTGTGGGCCCAAGACACAGATGACCATTTCGAGAATACTGTGTTGTTAAAAATAAATCCCTCAAGTAGAAAATTGAATTTTGAGAGAACCAGTTTCTTTCATTTTTAAGACTACCGATCATTTTTCCGATTCAGCCGAAATTTATGCAGGTCACATGGCAAGTGGCATTCATGAGTCGGTTTTGAAAATACATCCTAGAAAGTTTTCTCTTTTACAAAATGCACCCTCGTGTTAGATAAATGCAAAACCTTAATGGGTTTATTCACAAGTTTGTAACACTATAAGTGATCATGTCTAGATTTGAAAGGCAAACAGAGTTTTTTTCATTTGGTCAAACCAAACATCATAAGTTTGGATTTCTATCAATAACATTGATGACATTTCCAACATTTTTTTTTTCCTTCTTAACTTTCACGACACACCACACACCAAACGACAACAATAAATGTATTAATTACCTTTCTTATCATACAACATGTGTATTGAGTCGATACACGAACCAGTATCCATCAACAAAGCAATTCCCACTGGGTCTGCCCCATGGTCCGATAAATATTGCCTTTTCATTCTTGGTCATTTGATCATCCTTCTCATTTTCCTACGAAAATTGAATCACACCTTCACATGGTAAGACGAACATAATATCTGACAAAATGGAAATTCGTGGACAAATTTACAATTGAGTTCAGAATCACACACCATGTGAAGAGGGAAGTGAGGGGATGTGTCATATAACAATTTGAATGATATTATGCTGTACTTGTTCTCAAGAAGGCGATTGCTTAAGAAATAATTTGATTTCGGCATTACATCCAATTCCATTTAAAACACCGAATTTCCAATGTTGTACAGAATCAAATTCGGGCACAGATACCCCTAATCTATTACTCATGATCAACTAAGGTAACTAATACATGAAAACAATCGAACTTTCTTTTACCTACCTTTATTCAGCACACATGCAACACATAATGTCAAAATGTGTTATACGGATAGCACAACTTGGTATTACTACAAGATTACAAATGCCTTGAGAAATGTCATAAGCACAATTATGGTGTCATCATCTTCACACAGCAACCATATCATGATAGACATTACCGATAATAATTTCTTGTTTTGCATTACTTCATGCTAGAAAATTTGTTACAGCAATTCCAATTCAATTTTCAAGGGCATAAAAGAATGATACCAAAAGTGTCAGCTTCATCCTAATGACTCCTATTGCCTAGATAGCCATTTGGGAGTCATAATACACCTTGAGCGTGGTTCTCACAGTTGGAATTTGAAGACTCTGATGAATGACGTCTAATTTTCCATTTAAAGTCATAATAAATCCTGTCACTGCAGGCGAGATTTCGAGTTGTGACATCTTCTATGTAATGTCGCCAGCATTTGTTTGAATAGAATCTGCAGCAGGTTGGATTATCTTCTGTGTCCATAATCATCTTCTGTGTTAGCTGCAATGGAAGTAAAAATGGTGAGACCACTAACTAGAGAAAATTTTCACTGTTCACCAATCACAATCAATGAAATAGAGAGGAAGAAAAATACTGTGCTCTCACATGGCCACAATACATTGTTCCAGATGCAGGTGTAAGATCCATTTTTTATTTTTTTAACTTCCAGGCCCTCTCTAAAATGTTTATCACAATTTTACCATTTTGTAACGAGTATAAAAAATTGCAAACAAAGATCCAGGAGCCAACTGAGAAAATTTAGATATCGTGTTGTCATAACATTTTTTGTCTTTTGGGGTCTCAGTAAAAAAAATTTAGTTTAGAACCCATGCCTGAAGATGGACTCTCTCATTAGCAACCAAAACAAATGCAGAAAATATAAAATCGAGAGTTGATTCAAAACAGTCCTGCCAACAATCTATAGATGGCCCAGACAGGCATACATGAATCATTGAACACAAAAAACCATGAATGTGATTTTCAATGCAGGGGGGAGAACTTGGCAAACTGAAATCTAGAGTAAGTATTGCACAATGAGAAAGGTTGTACTTAGGACTATATGAGAAGAGGGGGAAGAAGAATTATTATATTTGAGTAATAGATTAGTCCCTAGTGAGAGCAGTCACAAAAACATAGTTCTAAGTAGTGAAGCTGTTCTTACACAAATTTTGAAAAACAAAACTATTTAAATTAAATTAAATGCATTCTACTTGTATTTTCATCGTTTATAATGATCTACACTAAAGCAACCATACCTGTATCAGTTCACTGCTAGCGGATACTAGCACAATACACCTACCACGGGATTCTCGCAACCAGTCATCAACAACTTTCATAACTCTTCTCAGAGATGCAGTGAGTTCTAAATTGCAGAAAAAGTTTTGAGCTTCAAGTGCTTCTCTTGGGTCCTCGTAAATCGTCATACTCTAGAACACAGCAACAGAAAAGTAGATGGTGAATCTGTGACGGAGCAAGCTAACAGTTAAGAAACTAGTTTATAAGCTGAAGAAAAAACATTCAAAAATGGATAATTAATGAAAAAACACACTACCCATTCTGCCAAATTACAGAAATACTATCGTTTAACCCTATGGAGAAAAAAAAGGTACCTGCTTGGAGTATACAATCAATTTAAAACCCTTAGAGCGATCAAAGTCCAGAAAATGCCTCTGATACTCGACGAGATGCTGATTTGTCCTCATAGCAGGACCAAAAGAAAACTTTGCTTCACGAAGGCCCGGAATATTAATAGACGAGAAAGTCACCCTGTGGCCGCTGTACTGGAGGGAAGACAAATTCGGTGCATTAATATTCACTTCTTGTAACTTGTAACACTGAAACAAGGCCAAGCTCCTTAATCTGTCACTTAAAATCGTGAGTCTCCTGAGTTTAGTACATTTCAAAAGCACCAATTTCTCGAGCACTGGGGCTTTGGAGAGGAAACCCTGAAGACCAGTCTCCACCATTCTATAGTCCTTCAACGTCAAAGTTTTCAAACTCCCCAAACTCTCCAGGTTGATTTTGCACTCCTGATATTTCTCTGCATGAAATGAAAAGCTCTCAACGTTTGGCGATGCAATCTCAATGTGAGAAACCTTGTCACACTCGTGCACCTCAACCCTCCTTAGCTTCTTGAGAGATGGAATGGATATGTCGAATATGCCCCTACAGTGAACCAGCCTCAGAACTTCCATCAAAGGGCAACACTTGTCAAATTTCGTGATCACGGCCTTATTTATCATCAGGGTATCTTTTATAGAAAGCTCTCTTAAATTAGACATGCATATGGGAGTGAACCCGAAAAGTATGTAGCCCGACAGCTTTAGAGAAGCTATTGAAGTAGACAGAAGCACAGTACTTGGCAAGATAAAATTTTTACCGATGGTAAAATGTTTTCCGTTCAGCTGAATATCCAGCTCTTTCACGTTTTTATCCACAGCATCACAAATCCATTTCTCCATGCATTCCCTCAACCGAATATCCATGTTATTCACGTACAGCCTGAACTTGTCTATGGAAGGAACTGGCTCGAGCCTTGTTGCTATTGAACGGTTGACATAACACTTGAACTTCTCTTTCTGCAACTTCCGAGCCTTTTTATTGTGTTTTCCAACTGCCTTTGGTGCACGACACCATCTCTGGTCAAAATCAAAACTCAAGTATGAGTTAAAAGTGTTTTTCCACTTCTTTGAGAGGATGCTAGTCCGGGCCACGTCTTTCGAGCATTTTAGGAATGTAAAAATAAGATGGATGATTGGTTCAGGCAATTCAGAAATTCGATCCACATTTATATCACGGGACTCGTCAATTTCACTGCTCTTTCTCCTCTTTCTTAATATATCATGATTTGAGTCAATACCCAGTTGCCCAATTTTCCGTTTCGAGGAAAATTCTCCATCACTGCAATCAGTCACTGTTGGCTGTACCTTAAAATTCTTCAGGTCATTTGTGGGCCTAGAACTTGATTTCTTGGTGGAATGATCCTTCCTGTTATGGATTCGAAGCCAGATTCTATTCCGAAACATGGCTTATCTAGCAAGAAAACACATTAGCTTAAATTTTAACGGCTCGTTGATTGATTGATTGATATATTATGTATTCCAAGTGCAGAAACAGAAGGCAAAGTTCCATGAAAATAAAAAGATCAAATTTCAAGAAACACTGAAAAAAAAAAAAAGAAAGAAAGAAAAACACTGACAAAGAGAAAAACTAAGATAGGAAAGCAAAAATCTTCTTGTAGAGGACTGGATAAGAATACAGCAGCCAAACACTAAAGTAGATAATTTCTTGAAACTATATCTAGCAAATGCAGAAATTAACATGCAAAATTTCACAAACAACCAATGAAAATACAAAACCCCATGGGTAATGAATCACACAATCGTAGATTTCATATGTCTTCATTCAATGATTTAGAAACACGACATGCAATTTTTTGGGGAAAAAAAAATAACGTCGCTAGACAAGAAAAGGGAAGTAAACATATACACGAGTACACAACCTTAATGAAATAACAAAAAATAATGTAAACCGCCAAGTCTTCCAAACGCAATTCCAGAAGGAATCGACGGTTTCAATTAACACGTCAATCAAATTAAAAACCAACAGTTCAAGAGAACAGAAATCACAAAAGAAGGCAATTGATAATAAGGATCATAAGAACAATGGCTATAGGAAAAATTCACAAATCTTCAGAAACAATTCATCCGCGAGATGAAAAGGCACAAACCTTTGGAGAGCAAAGGCCAAGAAAAAGCAGAATTAAAATTATAAGGGTAAAAATATTAGGGTACTACAAGTTTTTAGGCTAAAAGACGCTTCTATTAGTTCTATACATTCAAAAATAATTTTCAAACAATATGTTAATTTAAAACAATTCTATTCTATGCATAAATACCTTTTTTATTTTAAATCTACCATCTTTGTCCTCTATGAACTTTTGTTAGATTATTTAGTTCATCTAAAGTTTATTACATTATCTCTTCAATTTATTAAAAACTAATTTGAAATTATTGGCTTATTTAAATTTATTATCCATATTTTTAGTGAATTATAAAAAATAAATAGACAAAAAGTTCCTATACAAAATAAATTTGAATATGATAGGACCAAAAAAAATGTTAATTAATCATAGTGCATTGATAAACATCAAATTTACTGTCGAATCGTTCAAAACACAAATATATCACATATTAAAATGCAAACCCAAAATAGAATGAATGTTGAATTTTTTTCTTCTAAGATTACATCAAGTATATACACAACATATTAAAAAAGTAATGTTGACGGTGGGATTGGCAACATTGTGGGCGGTAACTACGCCCAGCGAGTATCACGGTCTCCATGTCTTTATTAACAGGTAGATCGTCGAACACCATGACCCAACTTGCGATGAATTTGGTTATCTCTGCGATAAATAGAGAGAGACAAATTAGTATTCAACAAGTATCTTTTTTTTTTTCGTACAATAAAAGAAGTCGATGACCTAAGGGGTACAATGCAAGAACTCGTCGGGAGTACGCCACCCCGAGGAAATCGTGATCAAGCCAGGCGCCCGTGCCTGGGGAAGGTGAGGAGACTCGCTACAAGCCAATCGAGGAAGTTGACGCTAGGCTCGCCATATGGTCTGCGGAAAAGTTGGCCTCCCTATGCACGTGTTATATGCGAACATGCCAATCCCGTTGAACCATAACGCATGACAAGGGTCTCGTGAGCTCCAAGATTGTCCTCAGATCCAAGGACCATTTTCGTTGCGCATTGGCTATCAACCTCGGCAATCAGTCAACGAAATCCCAGGTCCCAGGCTAGCTGCAAACCCTTGTAGAAGACCCAGAGTTGGGCACCCGTAACTGTGTGCAGAAGCCTATATTCATGAGAAAGCCACCAATCCAGCGTCTCATCTCGTCACACAGTAGACCTCCCGAACTACTTATTCCCGTGGCGATATTAAAAGCCCCGTCCGTATTAACCTTAGTTCACTCCGAAGCCCGCGGAGACCAATGGATCGTACGAGAAACGTGGAGAGCGGCTCCGACCTGCGTGGAAGCTACCACTGCACGACCATAAGTACGGGTAATGCTCATAACCTCCATGTATCTCATCTCGCAACTAACGGTTGGTTGAACACACAGTCATTTCTCCACCCCCCACGTACGCCAAGCCGTGACCGAAAACAGTATATTCCAGTAATCAACATCTCCCAGCCGAGTTCTCACTACGTTCTGTCGCAACCAGAGTCTAAGGGATTGCTGGAAAAATTCACTAACATGTTCATTAGGAAGCAGCCTAGTCCACAAGTCCTTGGCAGATGGGCAATCCCGTAAGACATGCATCACGGACTCAATCTCGCCACCGAGGTTGCAGGCCTCCGAGATGGATAGATGCCGCCGCACCCTTTCCACGATGGCAAGTAGTCGGCCTTTCGCAACAAGCCACAGAAAATTCTGTGTCCATTACAGTGCACAGGATCGTGAAATAATATAAATAATTTATAATATTTTATTTATATTTGTACAAATGTATAAGATCGAATATTAGTTTATTCTTATAATGAGGAAGAAATTAGAAGATAGAAAAATTAATTTACTCCCATTTTTCCCTCTCTTCTGGGGCCCTGAATCAAAATTTGACCCGAAGATATTATTGTTTTCTCTGACTCTCTCATCCAAAATTTTTGCTGATTTGATCTTTTGAGATGACCCTCTTCTTTCGCTCACCGTAATCTATCTATCGTCTCCATCTGTGTCTCAACCCCTTAACTTTCTCTCTCTCAGATCTCTCCTTTTCTCTCTCTTCACTTGACAATGCTTGCTATAAAATGGCATTTCCATTGCTCCTTTTCCCTGAGTCTCAGTTCAAGGTTGGATCTTTACTGAAATTGCCTAATCCCAACAGCTCAGTAAGGTCATGGGATTCTTCTCCGCCAATTTTTTTCTTCCTCGTTTTGCCTTTTCCCCATTTTCATGTTAATCATTTGAGGGAATTATCTTCGGTTTCCTATTTTAGTGTGTCATGCCCTTTTGTTTTGTGTTTCGAGCTACAAAAGGCGCCTTTTTGAATTCAGTTGGCTGTAGTAGTTTCAGTATTTTCTTTTCCACTCTCTAAGCTTAGATGTGTGATTGTTATTTTATTTGTAAAATGGCCATTACTGGATATTGAGTTGTTTGAATTTGTTGACAGATATATTTCTCATTGGAGAAAATGCATTTTTACGTTCACTTGGAAGTTTGAAAAGAAAAAAAGGCGAAAAGGCGATGAAAGGTGTAAAAGATGTAGAGAAAGAGGTGACATGTTTTGAAGAGGATACTGTGCCTTATCATCGTTCAAAATCACTTGTCATGCTACCTCGTCCAGCATCTTTAAGCAATGTGAGTTTTTTTATAATGGTTATGTTTTTTTTGTTTTTTTTTTTTTTTTTTTTTTTTTTTTNTGTTATTACCGGTTCAATATGATTTCACGGTTATGAATGCACATTATGGTTGTATAGATAAGAGTTTATAGGATTTCAAAGCATACTCCTCGTGCCACACTCGAAAGTGCTTATAGCCAGCCACTTGAATAAAGTGATTCTCAGATTTTGGCACAATTGATTCCATTTTGCTCTGAACTGTGCATAATTTCTCAATATCTGATTTCAAGTAAATGTGTACCCTCTGAGAGTTTTGATTTTACTTCTGATTTGACCTTTTTGCCGGAATAAAATACTTTCTGTGAAGCTGCCACACTCTTTCTCTTAAACTTATTCGGATGCTGTTAAATTTTGATTCTTGAATAGTTTCTTGCTTGTGCTACAATTGCATCAAAATTTTTATTAGCTAATGCGTTGTTAGATTCAATTCTCATATGGAACGAATCAAAATTGGATTTGATCTTTTCATTAAGACAAATAACTGAAAAGATTTCATGGTTCATTGCATACATTAATGAACTTCCTCAAGAACATCTTCAGTCGTTCACCTCACAAGGATGTGTGTTGTATTTGCATCAGCACCAGTAAATTTTATGTTTATGTTATATCTAATAATGATGCTGTCTGAAAATCGCTTGCTATTTTCTATCAGTAGTGTTTTTTT